GGATCCTTTTTCCCCTAGGTTGGTTCTGCAATTGCCTAACCACCATATTGGCAAGGGGGCACCCATTCACAGGCCAGGATGTCTGGGTGTAATGCTAGATCATGAAAAATGGTCACTGGCCTGAGGTGGGGTGGGGATGGGATGGAGGATAGGGGTTTGGGTGGGGAGGGGAGGGGGAGGCCCACCCTTACAGGGCATGGCTTCCAGATGGCGCTGGCTTGGCCACTCCCTTCAAAAAGCTACCTCAACCCCTTACCCCATCCCACACCCAACACCCACCATCCCAGGGGATGCATTAGTGAGGGGCAGCAAGCAGCAGGGGCGGCTCTGCTTGAAGCTCCGTGGCAGGAAGATAAGGAGGAGTAAAGGCTAAGATGCTCAGCCCTCTCTGCCCTCTTGCCCCAGGGGAGGAGTGCCAGGTACAAGACATTCCCTGACCTGGAGACAGGAGGAAAGAGGTGGAGAGCTCCCTTAGTTGGGTGAAGCCCTCTTGCTACCACCTGGGGCTGGGCAGGTGAATCAATGAGGTCACTCTGCTGCCTTCTCCAAGATCCCAAGTCTCAGCTTTGGAACTGGGTAGAGGGCCACTGCGATGGCTCATTTCCTCCCTGTTCCAGTCTTTCTGGCTTCCACCTTGTTTCCTCCACCCACCCTTCCTTTGCCACCCCTTTGCATAATTTACTGTCGGCAAAAGGGAACAGAAACCAGGAAGGGGGTGGTCTCCGAAGAGATGGGCAGTCTTCTACCTCACACACAGCCAAAACTCAGGGTGCAAGGCTTTGGTCCCAAGCCTTAGATTCCTAGGAACCTGCATAAAAGAAGTGGGACCCCACAAATCAAAGATAGATTATTGGTTCTATTCTCCAGTAGCATTTGTGGACAGAGACCTTTACTGTGTGTGTGTGTGTGTGTGCATATACACATATATGTGTATATGCGTACATACATACATTTTTTTTCATATATTACTCCTTGGGTGATCATCCCAATCTAGAGAGCTTGTGCCTCAAAACCTCGGCTTGGAATTGGAATGAAGATTCTTGGGAGAAAGGGTTGATTCTCATGCCAGCAAGGCTCAGTATCCTTCACCCCAACTCCATTTGTCTTTGATGCTCCCTGTTGCTTAGCATGATGTCCCAGGCCTTGTGCTGTTACTGCCTGGCCATTCATCCCTCTTTGACGAGGACTCTGCCAATGGCGTGGTAGGTGTCCCCTCCTTCTCCTCATAGAGCTCTTGCATAGTGACTGGGGGTCCTGCATAGTGACTGGGAAGCCTTTTGCTCCTAGAATGGAGCCAGAGAGAGCTGGAAGGTGTCCATTTGAGCACTGGAGAGGTCAAGGCCAGCAGAGTCTGGTGGCTGAGGATGCTGAGTCATTCAGTGGCATATCATCCTCCTTCTGGTGCTCCCCTCCAGGCAATTCTGGCCCATGAAATGGTGCTGCAGGTGGTCCTCCTTGGTGAAAGCCTTGTGGCACAGGTGGCACTCATAGGGCAGGTCCGCAGTGTGTAGGTGCATGTGGTTCTTGAAGTCTTACTATGCAGGAAGCTGGCTGGGCAGTGTGGGCATGAGTAGGGGCACTCTACTGTGTGCTTCCGCATATGGACCTTAAGCTTGTCATTCCTGGTAAAGCAGATATCTTAAACCTCACAGGTGTGGTTCCAGGGTGGCTTGGCATAGAAAACTTAGGTAGGCCATCAGGTCAAAATCATTGGTATCTTCATTTGAACCATCTGGTGATATTGGGGGCTCATTGCTCTGTGCTAGCCCATAGGCTGGGGGATATACCAGCTTTTCCTCTTCTTCCTCACCCTCAAAGACCTCAGATCTAGGGCTGAGTAGGAGGTAAGGCAGCACCTGTGGGAGGATTGTACCTGGTCACAAACCCACTGCTCCCACAGTTGTCTACTCTACCAACCACCTCTTCTTGGTAAGTCAAGGGATAGGTGAGTTCTATGGATGTATCAGGGACCAAGTGGTTTGCTCAAACCCCCTTGGTTTGAAGAAAAGCTTTTCAGGACTTGCAGCTATGGCAGGCAATAGGTTGAATTGGTGGTGGTGGTGGTGGTTGGAGGGGCACCTGTGGAGGGCCATCTTCACATTGCGCTCTCCTGAGGTTGAGGCCGTGGTGGTGGCAGTGGCAAAAGTCTCCATTTATAGTCAGACTTGCTCACAGTCATCCTTATCTGAGCTGGGGGCTTCTAGCCCGCTATCTCGTAGAATTTCCATGTAGGCAACAATAACGCAGGGCATTTCCATAGTCAGGCAGCTTGGAGTACAGCCAGCATGTTGGCACTGCTGGTGATCAGTGTAGCTGTGTAGGCAAATTCCAGCAGGGCACCCAGGGCCTCAGGCCCTATAAAATCCTGCTCATACTCACGCACACCAGCCCATGCTCTTCCAGCATCTGTCACACCACCCCTGTCCCCATAACAGACCCCCACCCCCACCCGACAATAAGTAGAGCTTCTGGAAGTAGTTGCTGTTAGGCAGCCAGCACAGCCATGTGTGTGCAGTACTCCAGCCCCTGCATCCTGATGGTGAGGTCGCATAGATGGCCCAGCTGCCTCTGCTCCTTGAGGCAGCTCAGGAGCTCACTGTGTGGTCTGGGAATGAGATCTAGTCATGACATCCTCAGGACCCCCCCATCAGGGCTCCCCATCTTTTCCTCTGAGCCTTCTGGGACTGCAGAGGGACAGAGTTGGGAAGCATTACTTCCCCAGTCAGCCCAGGCTCTGTTCTGGTTCTGGTCAGAAGACTGAGGTGGGTGGCTCACCTCTAATTGCTGGGGAGACTCCTCTTCCACCACCCTTTGTCTTTTCCTGATGCTCTGGTCCCTGCTGCGCTATGGAGAGACTTACATTCACCTCATCTCCCCTTCCAGGGCCTGCCTCATCTGTCCTGTCTCACCTGTTTCCCCTGATAGTTCCACACACACACCTACCAGTTCCAAACTCCCCTCCCCCTTACCAACACTCTTGGTCACTTTCCCAGCACTCCCTCCCTCTGCCCAATAAGGATATAAGCTTACACCTCCTCCAATAGCTAGTTCCCGCAGGAGGTTTAAGGGTCCCTCCATCCTTTTCATCCCTTTCCTCTAGCTCTTACTATGCTTCCTGAGCCTTTCTCAGTTGTTCCCTTTTACTTTTTTCTTCTTTGTCCCTTCTGCTGCCATCCCTCTTCCTCTTCTCTGTCTCTCATTATCTCCTGTAGTCCACCTTCACTTATACAGTTTTTGATAAACAGTCTTCCTAAAACACAAATGACTATTAGGACAAGATATATAATAGCAGCAGAATAATCCAGGGGATGTGATCAGATGACTATGGACTAGGAGAATTTCAGCATTTGTTACTCACTGTGGTCCTTCCTCAGTGTATGACTTTGAGTGCGATTGAAGTGCATGCTAACTGTCAGGCCAACAGAGCAGAATAGTAGCTGTCTGCCATGAATCCATCAATGAGCATCTTGTGTATGCACATGGTGACAGTAGACAACAGTATTTATGGCATACCTGCTATTATGTAAATTTCATCCCTAGAATTTGTAACATGTGCATGCAAACTCTCTAATTTTTTCTTCTTTAAGCTGGAAGAAACTAACACCAGAGTGTCACAACTGGTATGAGGCCAAAATATAGTACATTAAAAACCTAGAAAGCATTTTTCTTCTTCAAGACTACTTATTTTGTCCTATATCGACCTTGTAATTAGAGAAAAGTTTGCTGTGGAAACTGTGGGGTTTTGTTTTTGTTTCTGTTTGTTTTTTATAGATTTTTTTATTTATAGAATACATTGTTTTTATTTCTGCTTTGAGTGAGAAAGGGAAAAATAGCTGAAAATATATTGCATTTGTTATTGGAAGAATCCAGCTTGTTTTGTGTGCGATTATTTTAGATTGCTTGCAAAATTTGAATATTGAAATTTGAATATTTGTTTCAGTTGAGTTTAGATGGTGGAAATTTGCCTAAAGAATTTGGCTAATACACAGTCATTAGCAAAAACACGCACGTTCACCATCATTTGTAATGTATGTCTAAATATATTTTGAGTTGTTCCTTGAAACCAAAGTGTCCAGTTCCCATGCATAACTCTTTAGACTGTTTCTTCGCGCAGAGGTCTTCCCTAGAGCCTGATGATATTCGGTAGCTTTGTGTACAGCTATTAGTTCTCCTGCAAACAATGTGCTTATTTCCCACAAATGGCAGAGTCAGACTTTGTACGTAACCTATTAACATGAAAGGCTAGAAGAAATGTCTGACTTGCAGTGTACATCCATGAAACTTGAGGTTGGTACTCTGCTTGAAGGTGGAATGTAGAAAGTGTGGTCTGGCACAGAGTCATTCACAAAACCCTTCTTCAATATACAATTACTCTTCGACTTTTGAAAGTCATTCACTTGGGTGATGCCCTGAATTAACACATTACATAATGACGAAACTGTTGCATAAATACAGACTGCCAGGATATTTAGCACACTTAATGATGATTTTACCTGTGAGGGCAATACATTTTCTACAGAATTACTGAACTACTACTTAATTATTTTATGAAGAGTGACCTCTTATTAGAAACCTTTACTCACAACTGGGAGTGTTACCACTAAGTTAAAATGACTTAAGTAGCAATTGGGTAGTGATATACCTGAAAATTAAAAACTATCACTCTCCTGGAATTAACAATGATATGACATATATTAAGAATAAGGATTTTTAATACTGTTTCATAGATAGTGTTCAAACAAGCGCTATCACTTGGCTCTACGCCTTGCAGAAGTTATTATTTGGATTAAAAACCTTTCATTTACTAATGAAATAATGTATTTTCAGATTGATCTTAATATGTATTGTGTGTCAATTTCTTCCAATTCTGTACTTCAATAATTTTTNNNNATTTTTAAAAGAATTGGATCATCCTATATTTTGGAAAATAAAGTCTTTGTGATTGTTTGAATGGCTAGCTTTCTATACTGTTTTAAGTTATTTTCTGGTTGTCTTCACAGCTATGAAGTCTTACACTACATATTTCATGCTCCTATGGAGTGCTGTTGGAATAGCAAGGGCTGCCAAAATCATCATCGTGCCGCCAATTATGTTTGAAAGCCATTTGTACATTTTCAAGACGCTAGCATCAGCCTTGCATGAGAGAGGCCACCACACAGTGTTCCTTCTCTCAGAAGGCAGAGACATTGACCCATCTAATCACTACAGCCTCCAGCGATACCCAGGGATCTTCAACAGTACCACCTCAGATGCTTTCCTGCAGTCTAAAATGCGGAATATTTTCTCTGGGAGATTGACAGCCGTTGAACTGGTTGACATACTGGATCACTATACTAAGAATTGTGACATGATGGTTGGCAACCAAGCCCTAATCCAGGGTTTGAAAAAGGAAAAGTTTGACCTGCTACTTGTGGACCCCAATGATATGTGTGGTTTTGTGATCGCCCATCTTTTAGGAGTTAAATATGCTGTATTTTCTACTGGCCTTTGGTATCCTGCTGAAGTAGGAGCGCCTGCTCCTTTAGCTTACGTCCCAGAGTTTAACTCACTCCTCACAGACCGCATGAACTTCCTGGAAAGGATGAAAAATACTGGCGTTTACCTCATTTCCAGAATAGGGGTCAGCTTCCTGGTTCTTCCCAAATATGAGAGGATAATGCAGAAGTACAACCTGCTCCCTGCGAAGTCCATGTATGATTTGGTTCATGGGTCCAGCCTGTGGATGTTGTGTACTGACGTAGCACTGGAGTTTCCGAGACCCACCCTGCCTAACGTTGTGTACGTTGGAGGAATCCTAACAAAGCCGGCCAGCCCACTGCCAGAAGTAAGGTTTGCTCAACATCTTGGTAATTTTTTTTTAAAATACAAGGGTCAGTTTTTATTCCTGAAAGTAAAAGTATTAATTAGTATCATTTTAAGAGCCCATAACTGATTAGTTCTGTTTATTTGTGGATCCTTCACCTCCCTGGAATTCATCTGCTTTGGGTGAGCATATCTATAGTAACAAGAGGCTCTCTGTCCTGTGTAAGCAGTAGATTGAGTGGAAAAACATATTTTTAAAAAATCACTGTGGTCTTTAAGTTGAATATATTTAACTGTTTAGTTTTAGCAAGCATAATTTATTTTGCTTTCAGTTAAACTCTGTCACAAATAGTGTGCAAAACACTGTGTTGAGTAAACTTAGTAAAAATGGAGAGAATAAATGTACTTCTTTGGGAATTTATAATGACTAGAATATTTCTATCCTATAGTAGAAATGAGTATTAATTTCAGAGTAGGAAATCGACTAATTTAAATTAATTACAAATGTAACATTTTAACAAAAAGCATGCCCTAGTGCAGTTTCATTTAAAACACAGAATTAATGGTACTTTAGAAATATCTGCTCCTCAAAACTGCATTCTTTTTGTGCTAGTTGAATCATCAGCAAATTCTTTCTTCAGAAATGTTGTTTTATCCTATTTTATTTTAATTAGCCACCTAGTCTATCAGGAGTCATTTATGCATATATTAAAAATGTTTTCTAAGGTTCTGGTAGCTCAGTACTTGATGCCAACTACAACAGTAGTAGAGTTTATATAATTTTATTTTCTTTCATCTCTGAAAATAGCCACCTGCACAAAGGGTTGATTTCCACTGTAGGCACTAAATAAAAAAAAAATCTGTCAGTCCCTCAATGAAGAGAAAACTCAGATTGTCTCTCATAGGTATCAACATAAAAATGATAACTGGGTAGTATTTTTCTTACAACATGAACAGGTGACTGAAATGTAGATGTGAGGCTTTTCTCATAGACCCATTCGAGTGACACTTAAGAAATGCCTTGGTATAGTCCACGTGACACGGATGCACTGAAATAGCTGGCTCCGTGTCCAGTGCAGTGTTAGCAGCTTGAATTGATGCAGTCACTGGAGTGTCAAGGGCACAGCTGCACTAGCTACTCTAGAGGATGACAACTGACCTTACCCCATCTCAGCCATTCACGAAGAGTCACCTTGGGATGTGTCACTGGCCTTCCTAAAGATAGTTAAAGTAAGAATTTAGCAGAACCTTCTCAAGGATTTAGTAAACAAAACTGACTTTACCTTGCTTGAGAAGGTCATTTCTCATGTCACAGAGATAACTTGCTCTTTCCGCAGCTTTGTCATTTCCCAGGGAGACTGGTGCTCTCTGCCAGCTTTATTGGTCTTGGTATCCGTACTTTGTCTACTCTGTCTCTTGGTTACAGAAAGATCTTATTTCTTGAGTTGCATCACCTTGAACAGCAAATTATAGGCATATAAGACTATTCTATGCTGACTTTTTTGTGTGCTTTCTGTCTTTATTAAGATACATAGTACTTGTGCATTTTTCTATAGTTTGAGTTTATTGGTATTGCCTTGGTTCCCCCGTTTACCCATATCTTAACTAGTTTTAATATTGCATTTTTAAACTTAAAATAACATTATTTATTTTACAGGTATGGGTATTTTGTTTACATATAGGTTGGTGCACCACATGCATTAATTACAGATGGTTGTGGTGGGGGAAATCTATTTGGGTCCTCTAGAAAAGTGGTCAGTCCTCTTAACCACTAAGCTTCCTCTAATCCATCGTTTTTGTTGTTGTTTGTTTTTGTTTTTTTTTTTAAACAATACTAGTGGGTTGTACATAATGTGTTAAAATATCTTTAGACTTGATTGACACTGACTTGACCTACTTTATGAGTTTATCAGTTCTTCATCCCTCATTGTGTTTTCTGTAGTGATTCTAGTGAAAGTATGCTTCTAGTGTAACAGCAGTTGTTCATATCTATTGGTAGTGTTACACATACAGTTGAACATACATGGCATGTGTTATACTGTAACGTGATCAGTAGCGTTGGATTTTAAATGAAGATTAGTCTCATTTCAGTGTACCATTCTTAGTATGGATATTGTGACAAATGTCTACCTTCTTCCTTCGGTTCCCTTACTCTGTTGTAATTTTATATGCTTAAAACATGTATCTTCCTTCTGTGATTACCCTTGTTGATGTCTGAGATAAGCTGCGCAATAGTGTTATAAAAGTTAATGAGTTTTTCAGGTGTTCATACAATTCCTGGACCTGTTTCTGACATTGAAACAGGAGGGTCCTGCAGGAAGCTGGTGAGAAATGTTGTTCAGTAACAACTACCCAGCTGTTCATTGCCTAGATATTTCATATTGGGGACATACTTCATTTTCCATCTGTCTAGAAATGATTTGGCAGTAAGATTTGAATTTTGCAGCATGGGAAAATTTCTAAAAGGTGTTTTTAGATGCTTTCGTGATGTCTGAGTGCACAGAAACTATTGTGAGTATCTGGACCAGTTCCATTCAGTAAATTTTCTCCTTCACAATACAGACAGCATAGCCCATCACTTGGCAGATGGATCTAAAGACTTTGAGTGCCTCATCAAAGCCCATAGTCTGTTCAAGGCCTTTGTACCATAGATTGCTAGGTTATTGCTTTGTTTGTCAAAAAGAGCTATACCCTTTTAACTCAGGTTATTCATTTACACATAGGTAATTGTGTGCAAGACTGAACAGAGATAGTTGTTTCTTCAGTCTTATTTGAGATCAGCGTCTGTGAGTGCTTAGTATAAGAATCATTTGAAACTAGTTAGACTCTTAGATTTCAGAGATTCTAGGATTAATAATAAAATGCTGCATGAATATAGTGGGAAGAAGTTTTTTACCCTAATAATTAAGTAGTTCAAGATGTAACTTAGAAATGTGGTTAGAGAAACCATCTCTGTTTGTGCCATCAGTGCCCAGCTGCCCACAGTAGGATTCTAAACACTTGAATTAAGGGGAAGACGTCTATCCGGGTTGGGTCACATCCTTGCTCAGGGTTATCCACTGTTATTACAAATCAGTACATAATATGGATGCCAATTTTCTTTCCTTTTTTTGAGACAGAATTTTTCTGTAGCTTTGGAGCCTATAGACCAGGCTATCCTTGAACTTACAAAGATCTGGCTGTCTCTGCCTCCTGAAGCTGGAAGTAAAGGGATGTGCCACCACCACCTGGCTAAATGCCAATTTTCTACAGGCTGGTTTGCCTTTGCCTAGGTCTTTTCACATATCTCTATTTAAATGGGGCCCTTCAATATTAAACATAAGTGAAATAATGGCATAGACAGTCAGTACATGTTGTAGTAATTTTATTGAATGCTATATATGTGTTTATTTAGGGAGTCTACCCATTATTAAATAGAAATTTTCCTATGATAACTTTAGATGTTTCCTCACTGACAGAAGTTCTCTAGCTTTGCCAGACTGTTGATGTCTGCCACCTTTCAGCTTCTACAATACTGAACTCTAACGACACCTATTAGACTTTCACTGTTTTTTTTTAAATATAATTTTTTTATTGAAAAAAAAAAAGATTTCCGCCTCCTCCCCGCCTCCCATTTCCCTCCCCGTCTCCCTTTTCCCCCCTCCTCCCTCTCCTCTCCCCCTCCCCCCCACTCCTCTCCCCCTCCCTCTCCAGTCTGAGGGGCAGTCAGGGTTCCCTGCCCTGTGGAAAGTCCAAAGTCCTCCCCGCTCCATCTTGGTCTAGGAAGGTGGACATCCAAACTGGCTAGGCTCCCACAAAGCCAGAACATGAAGTAGGATCAAAACCCAGTGGCATTGTCCTTGGCTTCTCAGCAGCCCTCATTGTCCGCCATATTCAGAGAGTCCGGTTTTATCCCATGGTTTTTCAATCGTAGTCCAGCTGGCCTTGGTGAGCTCACAATAGATCAGCCCCACTGTCTCCGTGGGTGGGTGCACCCCTGAGATGGGGAGAGAAAAGTGAGAAGGGGAGGTTGGGGGGAACTTGGGAAACGGGATGTTTGGGATAAAGGAAGGTCTGATAGGGGAGCAGGGAAGCACACATCTTAATTAAGGGAGCCATCTTAGGGTTGGCAAGAGATTTGGTGCTCCCAGGTGCCCAGGGCGATGTCCCCAGTTAGTTCCTGGGGCAGCTGAGGACAAAGAACCTGAAATGACCCTATCCTATAGCCATACTGATTAATATCTTGCATATCACCATAGAACCTTCATCTGGAGATGGATGGAGATAGAGACAGAGACCCACACTGGAGCACTGGACTGAGCTCCCAATGTCCCAAGGAGGAGCAGAAGGAGGGAAAATATGAGCAAAGAAGTCTAGACTTTCACTGTTAGCTTGGCAAATTGTGTTTCCTTAACATGAGTGTGGGTACTTCACAGGGAGTCATTTTTGTAGCACAAGTATCTGAACAATATTAGGCACTCAGTAGATGTTTTATGTTAGAAGAAACCAACAGAAGTAACCTTCAAAGGGCAAAATGTTAAACTGGTAGCAGTGTTGTTAGAGGTTAAAATCACTGTGTATTCCAAATTTATGTCTACATCTTATTTGGCAAAGCAACTAAAACTTCCAGACAAGTTTATTTTAGTGAACAAGAATAGATATACTAGTGGTTTTTTGATTGATAAAACCCAATTGGCGGGTGAATGGGTTATGTCATGGTTTTAAGATGGAAACAGGATTATAGTCATTGTATACCATATTTATTGAAGTGCCAGGTTATAGCCATTCTATACCATCTTGATCGAAGTGCCAATTTTCATAAGTTACTTTGTCAATATGTATAATCAGCATCATTTGGTTTCTAGGATGGATTCTATTGGTGCTATAAAGTGTCTTCGCACTGTTATGCTGGTATTTGGAAAACAGAAAGTTGAAGACCGTAATGTTTGAAGAGACTGAAATTTAATTCCATTTGTGCTCAGATGTTCACCACAAATTGAGAGTCAGGCAGGAAATGGTAGATTCATGCTTTTATAGTTTTTT